GCCTGAGGCTTGCTCCATCACTCCACGGCCTTCTTCCCATAGCCCCAGGAATGAGCCCCTGAAAACAGGCACGCTCTCACGCTAAAGAAGACAGCAGCAGACACGGACACTGTGAAGAGGACAGCAAAGCCAATAGCCCCATGGTGAAAAATCCCACCAAAGACACAAGCTAGGAAAGCTGGGCGAAGGGCAGGAGGAGGAGACATGGGGAAAACGACGCTGGCACAAATGCCAATAATGAGGACTAACAAAAGAAGGCTTATGTGTTCACAGAGAGCTTTAAGATGCACCATTTCAGCAGCTGCTCACAGCACCCAGGAGGGGTGTCAGAGGGCCCTATTCTTAACAATGGCACCTCGGGGACATTGGTTCCCCTGCTAGACAATAGCAGATTAGAGGTTTTAAACCAGAACTCTGTGTCTGCTTCCCAAATCTAAGACTTAGAACAAGGGGCAGGCTGCCTCACACAAACCCACACTAGTGACTTAATGCAGGCAGCTCTGTTGTTACTCAAGGGGACAATCTTATGAAAAGGAGTCAGGATTCTCAGCTGCGGGCAAGAAACAAAGCTCAGCAAGTGGCTTCGGGTCACGTAGCTAGAAGTGGAGCTGGAATTTGATCTCCAGTCTGCCTGACGCCGCCGAGGAGCAGAGCAAGACCAGCCCTGCAGGCCTGGCCACAGCCCGTGTCTGCTGCATTGCTCCTACCAGGGATGAAAATACCCTGCCCGAGCCGAAAGCCTCTGCTGGAATTCCAGCTATGCCATCCCCTAGCTTCGTGACCTTGTCCAAGTCAGATCACCTCTCTGATCCATAGGATGAACACGCCAGAATTAAAATCTAGATAAAATTTTAGTACACGCACTCACACACACAGTGTGTGTGTGTGCATATTTGAATCTTTGCACAAGGCATGGAGTTTCACAAGGGACAGGAAGTACCACGCACAGGCAGGGAGACTGGAGTGACACGCACAGAGGCCTGCGGGCAGTTGCCCTCTGGAATAGGCAGAAGTTAACTGAAAAGAGCCTGATGCTCTGTCTGCCCCGGGTAGCCATCCACAGAGCACCTGTGCTCAGACGCCCATAGACTGGACTGCAGGCAGCTGCTGAACCCTACATGGACAGCATTCCTAAAATAGGTACTGGGTGCCAGAGTAAGGATTCACACTTTGCTCCCTAGAGAACACAGGATGGCAGCCCTGGCTGTGCCCCCAGTGCCCTCTTCCCAGGAGCCACCATTTTTTCCCTGTCCCTTAGAACCCTTGTTTACATATTCATTCCCGTGCCTACCCGTTTTCCATGCAACATCAATCTCAAAGTTGATTCTTACAAAATCACTGAGTACACTAAGACTAATGCATTTAACAAAATGTCTCCCAAGCACCTACTGTGTGCCGGGGCAGGTTAGAAAAGAAAGCCAGCTGCTCTCTAAGGCCCTGAAGACAGGTAGAGCACAGAACCTGAGACAATGCTGTCCCCTTGCTGTGGGTCATCTCTGCTGAGGAATAAAGAGTCTTTCCCTGGTTTCCATGTCTTACATCTGGGACTGACCGACTTTCCAACGTTTCTTTAGTCATCAACATCTTCCATGCATCTTAAATATAAATTGCATCCTTTTGAAGACTGCGTCATTGTCCTACCTCATTTTTTCTCTTTTTTCTGTCTTTGTCCTACCTCATTTTTAAGGAAGAAAACCCCTCCCTTCCGTAAGTAGCTGCAGGCAGCCTGTTGGCAGCAGCAGCGTTAACACACGATGAAGCCACACTTCACCAGATTCTGAGAGACAGCCGTCAGCCATTTGAGCAACTCTGTTCTCCCAGTCTTCCACTTGTTTGGATAAATTCAAAGCAGCTAACTGGAAGTCCAGTGGAGGGTCTATCCTCCAGGAAGGGCCTTCTCACGCGCTCTCCAAGTCCACGCTGCATGGGGCACAGAGCTCAGCTGTGTGCTGGCCATTTAACAGCTGCAGGATGGCTTCCCCGGTGTCTTGCTCTAAGGAGACCTGCATGGGGAGGCGGGTGTGTGGGGTGCCTGGCCACACTGTGTCTGCAGTCAGGAAGTAAAACAGGGGCAGGAAGTGGAACCCGACTATCAAATCTCAACACCTACCCCTGTAACTCACTTCCTCCCCCAAGGCTCCGCCGCCGCCTGAAGGCCCCACAGCCTTCCCAAAACACCTTGCAGCGCAGGAGGAGGTGCTCCGACACATGAGCCTGTGGGAGCAACAGGTTTTTCGCATCTGAATGTCGGCACCCGCATCCTTGAGAGAAGAAGGGATAAGCCATATAACCCTGCAGGTATTTGGTGACAGAAATATCCAAACGTGCACTAAACTACTACAGTTCTAGGCATGGAAAGGAGGAATAGAACTGTCAGAGGTGATTTTGTGGCATACTAAGCTGAAATGTGGCTACCAGACGTATCCTCCAGCTGTGCGTATTAAGTAAGACGCTTGTGTCGTTGGAATCCTAAAACCGAAGCCAGTGGGAACTGCCCAGACGGACTGGATGGCAGAGAAAGAAGGTTGCTTCATGAGATGGAGTTTTTCTTTACAGTCTCTCTAAATCCCCAAATATACACAGACAAAGTAATATCTGAATTCGGGGACAGAAGATCCAGTTTGGGTCACACATTAAATAGCTAAGTAGGGTAGACAGAGTTTCTGTCCTGCCTGGTCCCACTGCTCTTCAGTCCCAAATAAACACACAGAGACTTGTATTAATTACGAACTATTTGACTGACAGCTTAGGCTTCCATTGGCTGACGCCCTCTTCATTGTTAACCCATCACTGCTAATCTGCGTATTTCTACATGGCCTTATCTTACCGGAGAATTCCCGGAGTCTATCTCTCCAGTCTCCTTGGTGGTTCCTCTCTGCCTTCCCCTTCCCAGAATTGTCCTCATCTGGTAGCCCTGCCTATACTTCCTTCCTGGCTACTGGCCAAACAGCATTTATGAGAAACATAAATTCACAGCATACAGGGTATCCCCCATCAGGTAGGAGCTGGGAGATGGCTCTGCGGTAGAGGCACATGATGACCTGAGTTTGGTCCCCCGTGGTGGAAGGCGAGAACAGATCTCCATCTCTCCACAAAGCATTACATGGCACACACACACATACACAGCTCCGTGTACACACATGCACACAAAATAAACAAACAAGGAATTCATAAGTAGCCAAGTAATCTTGAGTAAGTTGCTCCAGCCCTCCTGGTGCCACTCTCTCAGGTCTAAGTTCTAATAATCTGAAATTTAAAACAATAATCTGATAAGATTTTGTAGGCCAACCATCTCAGGCCTGCCGTAAGTCACAGGACCTTCTCTCTGCCATTCATTTCAAAAGGGTTTCCGTCCTCTGCATTAGTGCCATGGGGGGTTGTGACTGTCTACCCAGATATGCTCTGTGTCAGTTTTACCCTACTGGGAATCTTCAGATCTACGTTCAGTAAAATGAAACTGTCTCTTGTGTTTCAAAGAGAAGGGACTCCTCAGGAGGACTCTCTCACACGTGTGGGAAAGGACTCCTTAGGGGGAGGACTCTCCCACACGTGTGGGAAAGGACTCCTTAGGGGAGGACTCTCACACACGTGTGGTAAAGGACTCCTTAGGGGGAGGACTCTCACACATGTGGGAAAGGACTCCTTAGGGGGAGGACTCTCACACATGTGGGAAAGGACTCCTTAGGGGGAGGACTCTCACACATGTGGGAAAGGACTCCTTAGGGGAGGAGTCCACATCCCACCATCTGTTCCTCTACAGTAATAAGGAAGCAGATGTCCATTGGTAGGGGAATGCTATATATTCATGAGTGATTTGACAAGAGAGTAAAAATCCCTAGGATTAAACAGCAGCTCCCACTGATGCCTGAAGTGAACTAGGCTCTCCCAGTGCAAGGGTATCTGTAGCACTGTTATATGAAGGTCTGTTGGAGCGTTCATTAGCATTGCATGTCAACATATGACTACAGAAAGAAGAAAAGAAACTCATGCCTAATGCGGTGAAGAGAGCAAGGGATTTTTAAAAAATATTGCCTTTGAAACATTTTTCAAATTAAATGGTTCGCGAAGCAAGTTCTGGAAGCTGGGCTCCACTGCTGCACCCTTGCAAAGTTGTTCTCGCTATGTTACGCTATCGAACAGCCACACAAATCAAACTTCCAGCTTCTTTTTAAACTAGGGGAATTTAAAACCCAGAGAAATGCCAAGACTCGTGCCTATCAGATGTCAGTATCTCTACTCCCTTTAAGATCCTACATTGTAAATCCAGACTGCAACCCAAAGAGGTCTTGGTTTCCACCAACCTTGTCTTTCAGGTGACTCTTGCTTCATTGTTATTGTACCCACCCCACCCCTGGAGGCAGTGGTGCAAGTCTTTAATCCCAGCACTCAGGAGACAGAGACAGGCAGATCTCTGGAGTTCCAGGCCAGCCTGGTCTACAAAGCAAGTTTCAGGACAGCCAGGGTGACACGGAGAAACTGTGTTGAAGGAGGAGGAGGAGGAGGAGGAGGAGGAGGAGGAGGAGAAGAATAAGAAGAAGAAGAAGAAGAGGAAGAGGAGGAGGAAGAGGAAGAGGAAAAGGAGGAAGAGGAGGAGGAGGAAGAGGAAGAGGAAAAGGGGGAAGAGGAGGAGGAGGACAAGGAGGAGGAGGAGAAGTAGAAGAGGAAGAGGAAAAGGAGGAGGAGGAGGAAGAGGAAAAGGAGGAGGAGGAGGAGGAGGAGTGACTCTCGCTTCAGCATGGCTATTTTGCACCTTTCTTTTCCTTCATGTGACTTGCTCTGGGCATGGCTATGTTCACACACCCACAGAGCTCGACCTACCCTTCTCCTTAAAATCTCATGTGGAAAAGTCTCTGGACTTTTCGTTACACACTGATAAAAACACATCAAGAGATAGAAGCCTTTTTAAAGAACAGGAGTTAAGGACGTTTTTAAATTTCATGTGGTGGAATTTCAACTTCACATTATCCAGGTGTGAATTCATTTACTCATTCACACATTTCTGACCCTGAAACATTTTATTGATAAAACTGTCCCTTAAAGTTTTTGAGAACTTCATACATGAGCACTTACTATATTTATACCAGTTCCATGTTCCCTCCAACTCCTCCTGTTTCCTACACATGGTCCCTCATCTCTCTTCTGTCTCCAACACACATCAGGTACAAGTTCAGTCTGTCCAGAGCTGAACTTTCAATGTATACAGCATGGTTATAAACATCTACGTCCAGATAGTTGGTCTGGTCCAGAGCCAAAAGTATCCTAGAGGTAGGTAGGAGTTAACTGGCATACATACATTCAAACATTAAAACATTGTGAACTAAACAGAGAGATACCCTAAAGTGTCAACACTATCACCTATGCAATATGCAAGGTTAAACAACTCACAACATGCCATCTCCTTTGACTAAAGCCCCACCCCTGACCTTGTCCCTCACTGTCCTCCTCTGACACCTTCCCCAGGATCCACCTGACTCTCCAAGGCCAGTTCTAAGAACTGCAAGTCCTTCACCATCCTCACTGCCCATGTCTGTTTCTTCTTCCCAGCCCGCTGAAAGTCCTTGAAGACTGAACCATGTCTAACTCAGCTTTGGATGCCCACAAAATGCAATACAATATTTAACTAATGACAGAGAAATGCGGTGACTTCTCAGACGAGATGCTTCTTCCTCTGCTGGTGTCTAATGGTCTTCTGCTTTCCAATGAGAAACTCTTCTTGTCTTACGCCTTACAGTCCATCATGGTGGGGAAGTGCTAGAGGCTTGAGCTGCTGTCCACAGGGTGGTGTTCTCAGTCGGGAAGAAAGGAGTGATGATTGCTTGTCCTGTTTGCTTCCTCCTTTTCATTTACTTTGGGACCCAAGCCACTGAAATGATGCCATCCACAGTTGACCTCATCTACATAACTCTGCCCCCAGGTACACCCAGAACCTTGTCTCCACCCCCAGGTACACCCAGAGCCTTGTCTCCGCCCCCAGGCACACCCAGAGACTTGTCTCTGCCCCCCAGGCACACCCAGAGCCTTGTCTCCTGGGTGATTCTAGACCTTGGTCAGGTTCACAATCAATATTACCCATAATGCTCTGTCAGCGTGATGACTGCAAGACAAAGCCACACCCATGCCACAGACTCTAAGGAAACTTTAATAAGGTCCCCCACAAAGTTATAATAGTGTTCAAGAATAACCTAAAGGGACAATACAGTGTCCCCAGGAACACCTCAGTGGAGAGTCTTAATTACCTTATGCAGCCCTGAGGGATGGGAGGGAGACTCTGCAGAGAGAGTATCTATACAAAAAGAGCCACCTATCAGGGGTCTCAGAAGGTGGACCCGTCTTCGGTGAGGGTGAAGCCAGAATGAGCACCCCAAGTTTATTTTCCTCTCACTACGGTCAGTTGCCAAAACAAACAGGAAGGCAGAGGGCAAAGTGAGCTCATGGGTGAAGCTCACTCAGGTCCGCTTTCAAGGCTGATGGGAGAGGGTGGAGCTTGGTTATGAAGAGCTGGCTGGCCTCTCTTGCCTACGTCTTAATTTATAGACTCTGGTCATGCAGCTGTCCAGAACAAAAAAACGAGGCCACGGAGGGAAGATTCCACTTGGGAAATCACCCTGGCTGTAACTTCTCCCAAGTGAACTCTGTGTTTAAATGACTAGAGCCCAAGGACAGCAGACAGTCTATTGCTACGCACGCTCTGACAGCCAGCTGCGGCTCATATCTACAGTGAGGAAGGCATGGCTGCCACAGGGTGAGGAAGCTAGGCACATGGCATCTTCGCCCAGGAAACAGAGCAATGGATGCTATGCTCAGATCTCAGTTTCCTATGTATATTTTGGTCCAGGACCCAATTCAGGGGTTAAAGCAATCCACCCTCAGGCTCCTTAATTAAGCCTCCCTGGCAATGCCCTCACAGACATGTTCGGATGTTTGTTTCCAGGGTGAATTTAAATTCCACCGAGCTTGCGGTCGAGACGAACTACAGAATGGAATAAACAGCATGAGGATGAGGAGGCCGGAGGTGGAGCCCCAACTCTGAAACTTACTTCTAGCTCAGTTACTTTGGACACCTGCCTGGACCCGGATTCCCCTCCACCTGTGAAACTCCAATCGTGTCTCTCTACCCTGCCATCCAGTGTCCTTTGCTGCAGAGGATGAGCAAATGTCACCTTGCAGATGCAAGGTAGCGTCCTGCCTGGGTCTTCACTTGAACCCTGGAGCAAAAGAAGGTGAAGTTTCAAGGTCAGAAATCAGGTTTCTATTTCTCTACTCACTACAGCAAGCATTTTCCATATTGCCAAGGGTTACTTTTTTTGTTTGTTTGTTTTTTGTTTTTTACGAGACAGGGTTTCTCTGTATTGTTTTGGAGGCTGTCGGTCCAGCCCGGCCTCGAACTCACAGAGATCCGCCTGCCTCTGCCTCCGAGTGCTGGGATTAAAGGTGTGCACTACCACCGCCTGGCTGCAAGGGTTACTTTTTAATGTTGTTTTTAGTTTTTATTTTGATTTCTTAAAAGTAATTCAGAATAAACCACATATAGAGAATACACAAGGCAATTTTTAAAAATTAATTCACTGCCATGTGTCAGGTTTTAAGATCTGTTATCGCCGTATCTCTCTCTGTAATCTAAGCTAGCCTCAAACTCACTGTTGTAGCCCAGGCTGCCCTGATCTTCTGGCCTCAGCCAAGTAAGTGCTGGGGTCACAGACACAAGCTATGGTACACAGTCGAATTCACTTCTGGTCTTCATAGCAACCTTTGGAGACAGTTTTGTTACAGCTCCGTTTGCCACCAGAGACACAGACACAGGAATGCAACTTAACGCTGACCGGTGTTAAAACCTGCTCTGCTCGGGCTGAGTACCAGGTCCACACTCCTCCCTCGCCTTCTTCGTACACAGCGCTCAGTGTGGATGCTCTTGGTGATCATTTGGCCCTTGCCTTGCCTGTCTGCACCCAGCAGGAACCCTCATGAAAGCTGTCTCAGTCCCACAAGCTCATGTCCACAAAGGGACACCCAATCCCCTCACTCCAGCCCACCCACGGTGCTGGAGATCTAAGTGGTAGAAGACTGTACTGATCTCGGGGCCAGGGTACCACTTGGTACATCTCAGAGCATCATCGCAGAACAGCATCTCGGAACTTGGCGCATCTCAGAGCAGCTTCTTAGGAGCAGATACCCCCCCCCCCCGAAAGCGCCGGTCCTCTGAGCACAGCTCTGAAAATGCGGGCAAGCCTGGAAAGCTCTAACTCCTTTGTGAAAAGGCAAAAGGGTGGCAAAGCCTGTGACAGCTGCTTTGCTCTCCTTTGAAGTCCGTTCTTGTCCGAACAGGCTGGAATGCACAGAGCGCTGACATACGAATGTGGCTGGGGTGGTAGATAAAGAGACGACAAGTGACTAAGGACAAAAGACACCGAGAACAACGGATTGGATGGCTCTAATGGAACTTCTGGGGAAAACCATCTGGTGGCAACGTGCCAGGGGACAGCTCTGGTGCCACAGCTCATTGCCAGCATCAGCCACTCTGGACCCTGATGGCATAAGAGTTGCTCAGCTCAAGTCCAAGATGCTGATCTCTTTTGCCAGCCACCCACGCGTCAGTCAGCATCATTGCCTACGCAACCAAGAGTGTTCTGTGACAACTGGTGAGATTTACCTGGGTGGCAGTCACTCCCTTCCCACCACACGCCCGTGTCTAGGAGTCTTTCAAAGATTCCCCTCATATCCACAGGCCAATCTGCCATCCTCAGTGTCCACACTCTCAGTGCCCGGAGTTCCGCTGCTGCTCTGACAGTTGCCCTGTCTACAGAGTCCGTACAAGCTTTGCTTGCACGTCTTAAGAACGTCAGAAGCCACTGTGCTTTGACCTTTCCAAAAACAGCATGTTACGTATGTCTGCCAAACTCCTGAAAATGCCTGCTTGGCTCGGGCCCTCGGGGCCTGCCCTAAGTAGCAACCCTTAGGTCTACGCCCACCCAGAAGCCCAGGACATGGTGACTACCGAGTGACACAATACACTGCAAAACTTCCCAAAAGAGGAAGAGGGCATTCCTTGATCCCCTTACTAAGAAGGGTTCTCTGAAGAAACAAAACTGGAAGAATGCTTGCATATATGTTATAAAGGAAAGTTTACTAGGTGGTTTGTAGCAGTGGTTCTCAACCTGTGGGCCGTGACCCCTTTGGCAAACGTCTATCTCTATGTAATTACATATTACTAATGTAGAAAGCTATTTACATTACATTCATAACAGTAGAAAAATTATAGTTATGAAATAGCAGCAAAAATAATTCATGGCTGGGGGTCACCGCAACATGAGGTGTATTAAAGGGTTGCGGCATTAGGAAAGTTGAAAAACACAGGCTTATAGGAAGGGGGTTGTGCCACCCAATAGAGGAGGCCTGTGTGTGCTGGAACGCTGAGAACCCAGTACTGCCCAGTGCTCCGCAGTTCCAAACTGGCACTGAAGGCCTGGAAAACTCAAGGACTCCTTCTGGGCTTCAGCCTATACTGTAAAAACGAAGAAGCTGGAGTCTAAAGTCAGCAGGGATGGCAGTGGCGGCTGCTGCCACGGGCACAGACACTTGTTCGGGAGGACACGCAGGCAGCGCTGTTTTTTGATTGCTCCTTTCTGGGATGTACTTCTATCTGCACCACCGTTAGAAAGTGCCATCCACTGTGAGGGTGGGCCTTGTCCTCTCAGCTAGCCCTCTGCAGAACCCCTTATTAGCATAACGAGAGGTACGGCTCCTCGGTGGTCCCAAACCTGGCAAGTTGACAATCGAAGCCAACCATCGCATTCTGCATTAAGTAGTCATTTCCTGTCATCTATTTGTGACAATTATGTGACGGTCCTTGGCCAGTGTTACCTTTAGAGATGTAAAAGTTAGGATGATAATTTTTAAGGTTTTTATCTAGTGAGCATATCCAGCGGCTGCACCCACATTTCTACTGGAAATATTAGCAGTTCATGATGGTTAGTGACTCTGCTGAAGAAACTACTCTCTGTAGACAGAAAGGAAGGTGAGTTCTGACTTACGATGCCTCCCAGGCAAGTCTAGTGAGGAAGACAGCTCCTTTCCAATCTGACTGTAGTCTCCCACCCTTGGAGTACTAAGAATCGTGTTTCTTTTCTTTTTTCAAGTCGAAAGACCTACTTCAAGGAGATGCATTGAGTTCTCTGTTATTGAAAAGAAAGCAAAGCCACCAAACACAAAGCTTTGGTCCAGCACAGTCCCCCTTGCTATCAACACCTTCTTGTGTTTGAGAAAACCCCACCTTTTCTCATTGGAAGCAGGGGACAGTGGCAGCCAGTGTCCGCCAAGCACCACTCATGGTGTACGCCCAGTCTGTGCTTAGAAGAAGGAGCAGACAGACACTGTCACAAACACATCTCTTGCCACCAAAAAGTCTTTTTGGATGACCAGAAATCTCAAAGATTCCAATTCTGGCCATTATTTCCTGACTCTGGAGTGATCCTTACAGATTTTCAGCCTTGGGTGGCCGTAGGACAATGAATGGTCACTCATAACACTCAGAAATGAGGTGACTGCTCTGTCAACCACGCAGTGACCTTGCCCGGAGTGATGCGCTGGTGCTGTGAAGCAGGAAAATGCCATCTCCTTCTCAGGTCCTTCTTGGTGTCTGACCTCACAACCTATGTCACGAAACAACTCTTTGCCTGAACCTCAGCCTCCACCAAGCACAGCAGAGTCTTCAGAGTTATAAAGAATGTCATCACTTGCATTTCCGTTAAGCCCTTCGCTGTATCGCAATGTGCCTTTGCGGCTGTGTTATCAATGTGCTCCCGGGAAGCTGAGCATGGGGAAGAGGGCATGGAAGCGATTCTACCCACACTCAGAAAGCTAAGACATCCGGGAAAGGGAGCAATCCTCAGACTTGGGACAGAGTGGGAAATCCTACTCAGGTCATTCCAGCTGAGCGGCTTCCACGGTCCGCTCAACTTTCCTCTCGCTCTGCCGGCTGGTACTCGTATTACAGAATTCTAGAAGCTGGATAGAAATAACGTTTGCAAAGTTGCCAGGCACTGTGACTAACACAGCAAGGATTTAGATACAGCATAGAGACCAGAGGAAAGGTGATGGAGGGTGGCTCTTCAAGACACTGGTGGTTGGCTTCAACTCCAGGAAGAAAGATGGCATCCAGGCCGATCTGGGTGCTATCAAGGAGTACCTGCCTGGAAGCTCACAGCTGTCTGTAACTCCAATTATAGGGGATCTGACACCCACACACAGACATACATGCGGGCATAATACAACACACTAAAAATAAATAAGTAAATAAGTAAATACTGACAAAAAGATAACTGAACAAGATCAGAAGGTATGATAAAAAGAAAGAAAAAGAAAGGTTTGGCACATAGAAAGGGTACAATAAGTGGTACATTTTAGTTAAAAAGGAAATAGCACCCTGCCCACCAGACACCAGGGACGGAACGACGGGATATGATGGAGACACCGAAGAGAAGCAAGGAAAAGACGCGAGCTGTGGTGGCCAGCAGAACGGAGGAGACTCAGAAGAGGCTAGCTGGTAGGGTGTGACATCACTCAGGTTCCCAGGGAAGGTCAGTCTGCTCATCCAGGCTAGAAAGTGCAAAGCATTGAACCCAGGCCAGCTGACCCTGCCCTCAGGGACAAACTGCCAGCTCTGAGCCAGAAAAAAGCTACAGGGGAAAGCCTGCCTTTTGGAGAGTAAGTGGGGGAACAGATGGTAGGAGGGCACACGAGCTGGGCAGCGCCTCTCCAGGAGGTTGGGACGAACCCAGACTGTCCATCCCAGAGGCTACAGTGCCTGGTGGGTGTGGCATGCTGCAGCTGTCGACGGCTTAAAGGCAGCCAGTCCAACAGGCAGGAAACAGGCTTAGTAAGAGTGTGTCAGCATGTCTGTAAACACAGTGCCCAGCCCGAGTCATCAGAAGAGGTTGGGGAAGACAGAATGAGAGGGACCAGGGTTCAGCACCTGCTGCGTAGACCAGAAAGCACAGAGTTGTGCAGAACTCTCTCTCTCTCTCTCTCTCTCTCTCTCTCTCTCTCTCTCTCTCTCTCTCTCTCTCTGTGTGTGTGTGTCCCAATGAGTTCCAAGAGCATGGGTGAGAAACTGTTCACAAGAATATGGGAATCTCACCAATGACTGCACCGCTCAAGAAAACATCTCTTCCTCCCTTGGCCATCCTTAGCTACATACAGATTATCAGAGAGAGACGGGGCCTCCTGAGCCTCCCCCGAGCTATGCCTTCCTGACCTGCAGTCTATTGATTGCTCTAGAGGGAGGCCTGCCATTCAACCAGGGAGGATTCATTCACTTGGCCGTTCAATAACTCTTTATTGAGTAATTACTATGTGCCAGACAGTATTCTAAGCACTGGGAAACACCAGTGAAACAGCAGGCACAGCCCAGGCCTTTTCCTCACCTAGCCTACCTTCCTTTTGAAGTCCAGACGTAAATAAGTGTTAGATGACATCATTTCAGGTGGGGTGACTTGGTGGCTTGAAGACGACCATACAGGAGAGCCTGGGAGAGAATGACAGGAATGAGCGCTGGGGAGCTTTCTTCAGGAAGCACAGCCCAGAAGGGTCACCTGAACCTGGGAGAGTGAGGGCAAGGCCTCTGAAGACCTGAGCAGGGACGTGCTGCTCTTAAAGCTTTCCCTTAAGTGCCCAAAGCCACACTGCCAGGAAGTGAAGCAGGAGATGGCATGCCCTTGGCACGTCACCTTTCTTAGATCTTCCCCTGCGACTGAAACTGTTCTGGAAACTACTTTCCCATTTGTCATTATATTCATGTGAGTGACAGGTCCTTTGCGTGCCCCACGTGCCCTGGGTACTGTGTTACCCACGGGGGACAGGCGATAGCATAGAAACTGGCATGACCACATGAGCCACACAGCGCATTCAAATTTCACACCAAGAACAGGTTTCATACTTCTTGCTAATTGCATTTAGACCAAATGTGAAGTCTGGATTATGTATAATAGTCAACATAGAGAAATAACCCATATGTTCATTGAAAAACAGGTGAAGAGTGATGTGAAATAAGTTTATATCTATGCATGTTTTTCTACTGAAAATGTAGTTAATATAGTGTTGTGCTCTTAAACATGTATGTAGAAGTATGTCGTATTTGTGTAAGTGTTCTTACCACCAAAAACACACTGGGCACTTAGATTTATTTGCATAATGGCATCATTGATGTCCATGGCATTAATCTGCCCAAGCCCAGCAGAATACACACAGTATGTGTGTTTGTTGTTTACGGATTTTACCTCAACAAGGCTGTTTTTAAAAAACTGAATTTGGGAATGGTATTACACATATACCACCCATGGGTGTGTTTGTCCCAGTAAATGTATAGCTAGTGGCATATTAGTTCACAAATCAGAGGGAAAAGAAGTCTGTTTGGCTGTGATGATACTAGCTGCGGCCCAGTGGAGTTTGCTCCCTCACACTCAGCCAAAAGCAGGCTGGTTGCATTCTGAAAGGCAAAGACTGGTTCCCAATTCCCAGGTCATCATAACTCAAGCCACTAGAGACACAGAAGGGACACGGTGACCTCAAGAGACGATGGTCAACAGGTGAACCAGCCAAGCAGACGCCAGATGAGCAGCAATCTATAGGCATGAGTGTGAGGAGCCGCCCTCGCTATCGCTATTGCCGTTAGAAGATGGCGCTGACATCCACTGTCAGTTGGAGTTAACTGTCGCTGTCAGTTGGAGTTAACTGTCGCTGTCAGTTGGAGTTAACTGTCGCTGTCAGTTGGAGTTAACCGTTTAAACTGTGCCTCTCCCGTGACGTCATCTGGGGTGATGTGCAAACCACCAATCCCGGCTCTACACATCTCACTCGGAGCTCCTAGGCTTATATAAGGGGCTGGGTTTCTTAGCTTGGGGTCTCCCTCTAAGAAGCTGATCATCTATCTCTCAAGATGCATTAAAGCTTTACTGCAGAAGGATCCGAGTGTTCTGCGTCGTTCTTGCTGGCGAGACGGTAGCGCGGGACATCTTTTCTCCCCCTATTCATTTATTTTTGAAGCAATAGGACACCCACAACTTTGGAGTGGAGATAGAGGTCAAATCCCCATGTGCAAATTCGGAACATGTACAAAGCTCCTCTCCAGGGTCTTATCCCCAGAGGAAGTCCTGACCAGTCCGATGTCTTTTTTCTGGGGGAAGGAGATCATGACATAGAACCTTCATGCAAGATGACTTATCTCCCAGGAGAAAGTCGTTATACCGCAGACCTCTCCTGTGCAGTGCTTAGCCTTGCAACTCCTTGGGCTGCTGAAGCCTACCCACTCTATCCCGTGCAATGAGACTAGCCTCGTGGGGTGCAAGAGCTGGGAGGCCAGCGACCTATTGCTTTAACATGGTTAACCAAATGTCAGGGGATGCTCCGTGTTCTAAGGCAGCAAGTGCTTGTGCCACCACCACTTTCTCCTTTTGTTTGGGCTCTGAGCGTACACACCATCCAAAGCATCAACACTATTCCACAGCAGAGAACTAGGCTAAATGATCCTACCCCCACCCATTCCTTAAAATAAGAAAATGCAGATGAAATCCAGGGGAGAGGTCTTCCATCAGAGAAAGATCCAGATGCGTCGAATTCACTTGCAGGATCGCCATTCTCAACTCACGGAGTGTCTGCTCAAACTCAAAAGTCCAATTCTGTAATAAATGTTGAGACAGAGCTTTTGACAGGTTAGCTGCTCTTGTAAAATTCTCATATTGTACTAAGTGACACAAAGGCCAGGCAACTTTGTTCACATCCCAATTTGGCCATCTGCCACAATATATCCAATTGTTCCTGAACCAAATTAATCTGTTGGTTTACCAACATCAGGCCTCCTTGTATCTGAGAATTGGCAGTGGCCTGTTTATCTAGGACCATGGTCACAGTGGCCTATAGTTCATTAATGGTTTGAGTTGTCTGCACAGTGGCAGAAAGTGCAAGGGCCGAGGCGGTAACCGAAGCAGTAACCGCGGCGGTGGCTATCAGGCCCACAATAATAGCAGAGATCCCAAAAATCTCGCTTTTCCCTAAACAAACTCAAATTACTTGGCGCCTCAACAGGAGCTGGAATAAATCGAGGCATGCGCATTACCAAAGCAAAAGGGTGCTTAATAGCATCCCAGCATAATGCATAAAAACAATTCTAAGCAGAACAATTTATTTCTTTCTGATTCTTACCTAAGGTATCATTACTCACAACCCAAATAAAGGGCAGCTGAATAATTAGTTCTCTTAAAAGGGGTATACTTAACATTGGAGGAGGACCAATCAGATGATCCAGAGCTCTGTCCCTCACTCAGACTGTTGCCTAATGCCCCTTTCCAATCAAAAGTAATCTGTCCCTTCTCACTATCATAGGAGAAAGATCAGTACAGCTTCCATTAATTCAAAAGGATTAGCATTAGATCTTTCTGGATCCATATGAATAAAATTATCCTTTAATGAAGAAATCACAGTAAAGCACAAGCTTCCTACTAATGACAAGGTTCTCTCATCCTGAAAACTCTGTATCTGAGGATCTAAAGGCAAAAAGGCAAGCCCCAACTCTCTATTATTTGTGAAAAATCTAGGGAACACCTGGGCATTCTGCATCACTGGCATCGGTAGGGGGAAGGTAGACATGATGGCCCACCGTAACTCTCCCATCATACTAGGAACCATCATCCCGAGTAGGAGAGTCTTCATCACCCACTTGGCCTCCATCCTTCTTATTCTGGAGTTGTGAAGGAGCTCTTCGAGTGAGTCTTTCAGGGATCCACAGGGGGTTTTCTTCCTCCTGTGGAAAAACACACACAGCTCCCCTGGATCTTATAAGAATAGGATCCGGGCCTTTCCAGAGATCAGTCAAGACATCTTTCCATTTTACCATTTCTTTTGGCCTATCAGGCTCTAAACTGTGGCGATCAGCCGCAGTGTGGCCTTGGGCATCACAGTTCAAGAAATTAAGGGTAAAAAGTGCCATGGATACAGCAACTCTTGGTACCGAGGGTAGAACATCCTCAATACTCCCCTTTTGTTTAATCAGATATGATTTGAGTGTACGATGGGCACGTTCCACAATGCCCTGTCCTTGAGGGTTATAAGGTAGGCCAGTTAGATGGGTAACATCCATTTGCCGACAAAACTGTCGGAATTTTTGAGAGGTATATGCTGGTCCATTGTCTGTTTTTAAAATTCTGGGTTTTCCCCAAGCACTCCAGGCCTCAAGGCAATGTTGAATCACATATGAGGCCTTTTCCCCTGTTAGGGGTGTGGCAAACATTACGCCAGAACAGGTGTCAACAGAAACATGAACATATTGAAGCCTTCCAAAAGAGGGAATATGAGTAACATCCATCTGCCACATCTGCAATGGTCTAATGCCACGTGGGTTTATTCCCATGTGGGGAGTAGGTAAGAATTCGCAGCAATTCTGGCATTGAGTAACAATTTCCCTAGCCTCTTTCCTGGATAGAGCAAAACGACGGCGCAAGGTCTCAGCCGTCACATGAAAGCGCTTATGGAATTCTTTTGCTGCTTGTGCATGGGTAGACAAGGCAGCGGCCACCAGCTTTGTAGCCTTGTCCGCTAAGTCATTCCCTAAGGACATGGGACCTGGGAGTCCAGAATGTGCTCGGACATGGGTAATGAAAACAGGAAATCTCCTATTTAACAAGGCAGCTTGTATCTTCTGAAAGATGTTAGCAACTCTGCTGGAGGATCTTATTATTCCAGCTATCTCAAGGAGATTAACTGCATTAACCACATAAGAGGAATCTGATACAATATTGAGGGGTCCTGGAAAAGCCTCAAGAACCTCCAGTACTATCAGACATTCTACAACTTGAGGTGAAGTTTCATTATATTGTTTAGATATAACCCTATCCTTGACCACATAAGCTCCCATACCAGTTTTTGATCCATCAGTGTACACCACAGTCCCATCTGGGAGTGGGTCTTTAGCTGTCACTTGTGGAAACACTATAGCCTGGTTTAGGGCAAACTGTAAAATTGGATGCTTTGGAAAATGATTATCAATTTGTCCTGAAAAGGAAGTAACTAAAACTGCCCAATCACTAGATGTGGCTGCCAAGGTCTGAACTTGTGCAGCAGTATAAGGCACAATCAAGGAATCAGGATCCCTGCCAAAATGTGTAACAGCTGCTTTTATTCCGCGAAGCGCGAGGCTGTGCAACAGCATCAGGGTACCAGTCAATAATCTTAGCAGGGGAAGCATTTGGATGAATCCAAAGTAATGGTCCATGTTGCCACAGGACTGCAGTTGGCAATTGAGCTGTCTTAAAAACACACAGATTAAAAGGTAGTGACTCCTCAATTCGTTGTAATTGTGCTTCCTGTAAGGCCTCTTCCACCATCTGTAAGGCTCGGTGGGCGGCAGGGAGTAAATTTTCTGGGTGAGGAGATATGAGGCTCACCCTCCAGGAGATCGAAGAGGGGTTTTAGATCAGCAGATGGAATTTTTAAAAAGGGCCTCAACCAATTTATATCTCCCAGAAGTTTCTGAAAATCATTTAATGTTTGTAAGTGGTCTTTGCGAATTTCTATTTTCTGAGGAACTATATTTTTGGGAGTAATCTTTGAGCCCAAAAAGAGCCCTGTATCTGCAATTTGAACCTTTTCTGAGGCAATCTCTAATCCCCACTGTTTTAATTCAGCCACCAGCATGGGAAAAGCCTTTTGTAAAACATCTAACTCTTTGTGACAAATAAGAATATCGTCCATATAATGGATAACGATTAAAGATGTAAATTGCTTCCTAATTGGCTCCAAAGCCTCCTGCACATATAGCTGACATATTGTTGGGCTATTGGCCATGCCTTGCGGCAGTACCTTCCACTGAAATCTCTTGTCTGGTTCCATATGATTAAGAGAAGGGATAGTGAAGGCAAACCTTGGTCTATCCCGTGGGTAAAGTGGAATAGAGAAGAAACAATCCTTAATATCTATAATAATAAGCTTCCAATCTTGAGGAAGTGCAGAAAGCAAAAGGAAGGCCTCTTTGAACAGGGCCAAAAAGATGCATCTGATTGTTAATGGCCCGCAGGTCGTGGAGTAATCTCCACTTCCCAGATTTCTTCTTAATAACAAAAATTGGTGTATTCCATGGGGAGGTAGAAGGCTCTAGATGCCCCAGCCGTTCCTGTTCTTGCACTAATCTTGTGACAGCCTCTAATTTTTCAGAGGATAGAGGCCATTGAGAGACCCATAACGGCTCCTCTGTTTTCCATGGTATGGGTCGTGAAGCCTCAACGGCCCCTAAATAAAACCCAGTCCTTTTCTACCCCGATTTCCGTGTTGTGTAATGGGTTTTATTCTGCCTTGTTCTTGCCTACCCAAGCCTCTACCATTTGTATACCCCATCTTTGCCATAATGGCTGATGCCTGGGGGAGTATTCATTAGTTAGGGTCATGCCCATGGCTTGTAACACATCTCGTCCCCATAAATTTACAGGGAGTGGCAACACATAGGGGGTAAAACATCCCTGTTTGCCTTCAGCATCCCGCCAGGTTAAGGCTGAGGCACTGATGGCAGGAGAGGACTGGTATCCAAGACCTTGTAGAGAATGAGATGAAACAACAGTGGGCCAAGACTTCGGCCACCAATGGAGTGAAATAATGCTTTTGTCTGCTCCCGAATCCATTATCCCTTCAAATTCTTTTCCATT